GTTATACACTGGCAGATTGATGATAGCTCTGAATTCGGATGGAAAAAACTCAAAACGAATACTTACCAGTGAGAATGAATTCTTTTTCATAGTTCTTACTTCAGATAAAGATATAAAATTATGCATTATTGGATATCAAAATCATTTACAGAAGCCGTGCGTTCTGTCATGTTTATTCAGTATTGCTTATGTGTAACAATTATCATCGATTATTATATTGTCTCTTAACAGTATTTTTATTTTGCAGTTTGTCCTGGATGTAGTCCGGATTTCATTAATATTTGTGTTGAAAATGGTTTCATTGTTTAAGACATAGATACTGTATTCTTATTGATTGCAAATATTACAGATTCAATTCTAGTCCACTGAGTTTTCCTTTTTGGCAGAAAATCTAGAGTGCATTTGAGATAAGCGCATGCTCTATTTAACTTCAGTAAGACCTGTCTTACTGCATGCTGTTTCCGCTTGAGCAACAGGTATAAAATCTTATATAAGAAAGTAGATGTGTTCAGAAATAAAGTTTATACCATTATGAATGTTCCGTGGCATGTGAGGATTATTTTGAATTCATTTGGAATTAAAAGTGACGAACTTATATGATCATATCCTAATCATAGCACACAAGATCTTTAAAAATATGAAAGAATCATTGTACCCGGCAATAGCAAATGTTTCTGATTACGATCCTAGAATTGAAAATTTATTCAGAAGTCAAAGACGTTTTACCTAAATTTCTGTATGGTAAATTACCTTAAATGGCATTCTTATGATGATAATTTTATAGTGATTCTAATGAAAAAATGTTTTGAGAATTAAAAGAAAGTGTCACAAAGACGAAAAAATAGATTTGAAAATTGAAAGTTATTGATCAGACTTTTATTCAGTTGTGCAATTATGAGCTATATAAATTGTTACATATTATAGCCTAGTGCAATTAAAATTTATAAATTCGTTTATAAAATACCTTATAATGAAAATGCCTTAATGAAAAATTCCAAAATTTCAATATTTTATAAATAAAAATATTCAATACGTCCTATTTTCTTTAGTGTCGGAAAACTTATCGTAACAAAGAGAGCGGGATTCGACGATGATTTCGGAAACCGGGATATGGAAGATATCTCCCTCCAATATAAATCTAAAGAAGGTAAGTATACCAGCAATTCCCACAATTATGTTCATTCTGCCTTTGCAGATTAAAATGTTATTTAGACGAATGATACCAAAGCACTTAGGAAGGTTTTAAACCATTAGGTGGTGGTCTGTTAATTGCATGCGACCCCTAGAGATATAAAGGTTTACCATTTTCATTTATCTTGACTATAGTTAGCAACAACAACTGTGCTTTACTGAAGACATTTGACATTATTACAGTCTTAATATATGCTTCTGATTTCAAATTTATCATGGCAAATTTTATTTGAAATTAGAATTTTGAGTTGTGAAAGCAGAGATACTTATTTAAATGTACAAAATGCAGCAAAAATCCAGTCAATATTTTAGCCATCTCGGATTGTTAAAAAATATGGTGAATAATCGAACTAAAATTGTATATAATACCGCAAAAAGGTGTTTTTCCCGCATTGTTGAGTGTATTAAAAAAATTAAAGAAAATTTCTGAAAATATTTTAATGAGAAAAAGCTTGTTAATAAATAAATCTATTCATTGTTTAACTACATTTAATAGACTTTCATTTTGAAATTATTACTACTGTCACTATATAAGCCTTTCCAAAGGAAATTCAATTATCTATCCGCTCTAGCCATAGATTCCGCTCTTAAAATAAGAAAAAGAAAAGAAAAGAAAGAAAAAAAAGAGGAAAAAAATAAAAGTCTAAAAATCAAGTCACGTAGGTTACCATTCTGCCTCTCAATTTAAATTTTTCCGCTTGCCATATAATCTGCGTAATCCTCTAAACTGAGCGAGTATGTAAAACGAGGCATAAAGGAAAGAATCAAGATAAATCTTAATTATTAGTAAAACTTAATAAAAGTGCCACAGATTAACAATATTCAGCTTTGGGTCAATTGTTAAAGTCATTTGTCTGGATTTTATTCTCTTATCAGTAATTTATTTAACATTTAAAAATTTTAAGTGCATGAAAAAAGAAAGCAAATCTTAGCAAAGGGCAATCAGAAAATATAAACACATGCAATGTAATTGCCAAGCGTTATTGGGCATTTTCCAATGCTAGTAGCGCCACGTCTTATGGTAAGAATATCAGTGAAAAGGGTGCCAGATTTTCCAGTGTGGCGAACCCTTAGATACTGAGTTAGCAGACTGTTATTGCATGAAGAACTATTAATGTAATTTAATGACATGACAATTTTTTTCCGAAATTATCATTTAAAATTCATATAAATATAATTGAAAATAAATAAAATTGTTTTTCAAAGTTTCCGAAAAGACTTTAAGAGAATTTTCTGGTAAGGTCTCCGCACTTATTTGTCAGTAACACTTAACTAGGTAGTGTTCGAGTATTGGATTAAAGAAAAAAATTCGAGTATGCAGTTTTGATTAGCATTAACACTATTTTTTCGATACAAGTGCATACTTCCTTCAGATGCAGAGAAAAAGTAACATTTCTTAATATGAAATGCTAAATGTAGTTAAGTTTAATTCTTCTCTATAAACTGTAATTTTAGTTCATTCACGGTCTTTGTCGCTATGGTCAAAAATTTATCATAGGTTTTCAAACTCTTTTCTGATAAGCTATCCAGTTCAAAATTTGCATAGTGACAAAAATACTCAAAATATAATTTTGATTTTTTAAAATGTAATGTTGAAAAGATTCTGAGCGCATATCTTCGTTTCAGAAAACACTCAGAATTCTACTGCTTTCAACCCGGATAGAGTGGAAAAATTCTTTTAAATGAACTTCATATGAAATTATTAACGTAATTTATTATCTTTCTGTCGAATTCTCGAAAATCGCTGAAGTTTTTCGACCATTTATCGCAGCAGGATTGTTAAAAGTAAAAGAGTGATTCTGTGATTGAGACTGAAAAGATGAAAATCAAAAAATAAATAAAGCAAAAAATTTTTATAAAATAAGTGTATATTTTTAAAAGTAATAAAAAACTGAAAATAGAGAAACCATTCATCATATAGTATCTTAATAAATTTACTAAGAGAGCCCCAGGATTTTGTTATTCGTGACATAAAATTGTAAATGATTTTTTAAAACATAATTATTTAATTTCTTGCTCCCGTGAAACTATGTATTTTTTGTTTTAGTTCATTAATTATTTTATGAGTTTTTTAAAAAAGCTTATTTTATAAATATTTCCAATTTAATTTTCTTTTTAACAGTTTCGTAATTAAACGGGAAGGAATGTGAGTTTTTAATTTAATGAAATTGTAAATTGCTTGAAAGATATTATTTTCTGAAAATATTATGCGAAGTTTTACATCCAGTATATCTCCACCTAACTTTGGCTTTTAAACATTATTCCATCCATTAAATATTGATCTCTTCCCCACCAAAGTATTTCAGGCTCTTATTGCACATGCTGAGCAATATAAAGGAGATGTAAAATTTTAGTTGTATTGAACTGTTTCACTTCAGGTTCATCAGAGGAAAGGATGTCTGTTCTGAACGCTGCTCGCCGAGGTGGTCTGACGCATATCTACGACATGCCTTTCCCCGGCAAAGAAGACGTTTTCTTCTCACTTAAAGACATCGACAAAGTTATGATCGGCCAACCTTTTCAAGTTATTGTGGAAGTCGAGAACAAAAGCGATGAAAAGAGAACTGTAACTTCAGTACTTTCAGCCAGTTCCATCTACTATACTGGTATCATTGCACGGAAAGTCAAGCGAGCGAGAGGCACATTCACTTTGAGACCTCGACAAAGTTAGTTACCTTATACGATATCTTATCTGATATGTATTTATATGTTGTTACCTTACACGTTACCTTATCTGATATATATTTATATGTTAAGTATAGATTTTCTGCAGTTATATGATCCGAATTTTCGTAAAGTTTGGAGAAAAGCGTAAACTTAAATTATGACAGCTCTTTTTTGATATAGGATGCTCATCGGGTGAGCTGGATTTAATTTTAATATGAAACATCTTCTTCTTCAATGGCCAGACAGTCCAGGATGGGCCCTTGTCTTCCTCAGAATTGAAATTCCAAGCTCCCTGGCCATGGACATCCAGTTGCTTATTTTTCAAATTATTAAGTCTATTTCCAAACAGTCGAGCCACCTTAAGTTTAGGTCTCCCTCTTTTTCGGGTGCCGAATGGTCTGGCCGAGATCATCTTTTTAGTTACTCGGTTTTCTCCTTCTCACAGGGGTCTGCGCTTTATTATTAATCCTATATTTTTATATCATTTCTTTAAAGATTTATAGAGTCAAGGAGTTCTTTTCTCAGATATGTTACATTTTATGACACAAAAAACTTCTAAAATTTTCTTCAAAGACAAAAGATATTTTTTTTTCGTCATGCCGGTCCCAGCGAGTATGTAAGAATGGGGCTGATTAGCTTTGTATTAACCGTGTTGGTAATTCAAAAGTTACTAAGTGCTCATTCCAACTGTGAAGTACCTTTTTTTCTATCATTTAGTATGATGTTGTTTTTGTCTCTACAGACAGTGGTTCTAGGCTTAAAATCTTTGCGGCCAAGATATTTCAAAAAAAAAAAAAAAAAAAAGAAAAAAAAAGAAAAATAGTAAATTATTATTTAATTGATCAGTTTTTATTGATTTATAAAAACGCATGTTGAAATTAGTTATGAAATATGACAGCGTCGGGCTGTGTTGGTATATCCTGACTGTTCTGAACAAATTTTCGAATACATTTTCTAAATCAGTTGAATTCAGCAAAAAAGTGATGGATTTCTGTTTATTCAGTTCAAAATTGTTTGTAGTTTGTTACCATACACCTTGCACTTTACAACACCCTAGAAGAAGCATTGCATAGCGTTAAGTCAAAAGATAAAGATATGGAAAACCAATTAGCTTCAGCAATTCTGGAAATCACACGCCCAGGAAAACGTTGTTTTAAGAAATCGATGGTTCTCTTGCTGTATGGCATGTGGCACCAGCCTGTTGAAACCACATTTCTTCGATATCAATACTCTATAACTGGTCCCACAAAAAGTTCGACATCCTCTCACGATATCGTACCGTATTCACAGTTCAAGCTTGGTCAAATTCACTCATAAAAATAAGGGTTCAGCTGCAAGCCATATTTATTAACGTCAATGGCTGCAGATAAAAAATGTCAAACCTTAGAGCTGCCAACTTCTATATAAAAAATAGTCAAAAACTTAAATCCAGCGTACCCGATGGATGATCATTTATTAGCATTTAAAAAGTAGAAATCGGTGCTCAGTAATTTCGAACTAGGTTTTCTTTGAATTTTACGAAACTTGAAAATTTCATTTAAGAATTTTTTTCAGCAGTTATTATCAAAGAACAGTCATTAATTTAATAAGACATGCAATCATTTAAAAGAAATAAAATGTTTTGTTAGGCTTTTGTTAGACTTGTGACAATAGAAATTTTTCTCAGTGACATAGTCACCTAGAAAAAGGGGAACAGCAACGCATTTTGTCGAAACTGCTAGATAACAATGATTTTTAACTAATGTAATTATGTCTTCTATATTAATTATTAAGAGCTTTCTAAATTTTAAAAGTTTTGAAGCATATGTCATATAAAAGGTAATCATAATTAAAGCTTCACTTTCAAAAGGCTGTAAAAGGAGGAGCCATTGGCTGGAATGAGTAATGATCAAGATATCTCTAAATTTTTGAAAAATTTGATTTATGTGTCATATATAGGGTGATTATAGTTAAAGTTTCACTTTCGAAAGGCTGTAAAAAGGAGTCTCTGGTACTCTACCTAAAATATGGGGCGGAACTGATCTAAAGTCGAGCTGTCACCTATATGGTTTTCAAGACTCTTGCGAAAGATAGGCACATATGACTCCTTGCCACAATGTATGTCGTGGGTTTGTGGATTGACCGATTGGTAGCAACAGTAAAACGTTTTTGTAATTGGAAGTAATGTCTGTGACCAACGGTTTCGAAAAGAAAGGCTTGGTAAGGACTTCTCTGGACACGGTTCACCGCAGGTATTCGCCCAATTAATTCAGTGTAAAAGCACAAAAGTCACAAATACGTTTAATTTCAAACTTTGTTCATATACTTAATCTGATATTCAGGCCTAACCTATAATTTATTTTATGTCTTAAAATCTTAAAATGAGCAATCCTGCTCGCTTAAAAAAAGAGTATTTTTAAATTTCACTTTGCATGTTTTAATTCCATTTGTGTTTATATTGCATATTTATATGCATTAGTGAATAATCTTGTATTAACAACTACAGTTGCAAATAAATGACTGATTTAAAAAAAAAAAATTTTAATTAAAAGTGTGAAAGTTGAGAAAAGTGACTATTTTTTATTAGAAAATGACAGATCATTAAATTTTTGCATAAAATAAGGTATAAATTTCGTTTTATATAGAGGAGCAGCTAGGTATTGAAGTGAGCGTAGATGATTACTTGGACAAATTGGTGGACTATGCTATGCTCAAAATCTATGCCATATCGACTGTAAAAGAAACGCAGCAAACATGGGCTGAAGAGGATGACTTCCAAGTCGAGAAGCCAGGGTTAAACATTGAGGTAAACATATATTTAGCAATTAGATTGATTTTGTATGACACACCATCTGTATAAAACGTAGAACTTTGTGCTTGTAATTTTAATGAAAATATAGTATTTGAGGACATAATTATTTATTTCTAGGATCTGAATCATTAACTGATTCGTGGCATAGTTAATGATTTTTTGAAACTATCCTACTTTTTTATATGACACTAACTGCATTTTTCCCTTCTAATGTGGATTAAAACCATATGATTAAAATGTCTGACTAAAATTTAAAAAAAAACTGTTGTTTTTCAGTATTAAAATATACTAATACTTTTTTATCATCTTTGTTTAGATTGAAGGCGATATTAGAATTTATAGACGTTTCAAAGTTAGAATTAGTTTTACCAATCCTCTGAAACGAACCTTAGAAGACTGTGCTTTAACTATTGAAGGACCTGGGCTGGCTGAGCCACGTAAAAGGTCTCTCAAGTAAGAATTTATAATCTTCTATTTTTGATTTTTAGTGAATCAAAATCTTTCATCGATTAACATAAGTTTCTATGACGTTTCCCATGTCGTATTTTATCTGAAGATATTATTTCCTTAATGAAACATTATGCAACATATTTTGCCACCTCTATGAAAGTACTGATTTTAGCTCAACAGGGCTATTAGTCTCGAAACGGCATTTTGCGTCGGTTAAGTATAAATGTCTGCTTCAGTCTTCAGATTGCTGCCACCAAATGTTATCGCCCTGTATTATATTTAAAGGAATTAAATAATGAAGAATTTGCAATGAATGTATGTATGTTTCTCGTATTGTGAAAAAACCAACGGTACCTAGAGCCATCAAATTTTGAATAACGTAGTCCTCCTGAATATGGTCCGAATATGGGACTTGGAAGCCCGAATTTGGTATTTGTTTTATTAGTTATTTCATGTTTTGTAAGACGTGAACGAATTTTTGATTAACACAATGATTTCAAAGGAAGCAACAGCAACACTGTACGGAAAAAAGCACTTTTATCTCCAACGCGCAAAGCTGTCCATCGGAAATTCTAAAACTATGCTATTTTTAAATATTTTTAGTCCAAAGGGACAGTAGCCCGGATGCTCTCGAAACGTGTATGCGTGTGCAAATAAAAAAAAAAAAAGAGAGAAACTTTGGATGCAATATGAAATCTGAAAGCTTTCAGGCTTGTTTTTTCCCGGGAAAGGACTTCATGCCTCTGATTTAATATTAGTAACACAAAAATAGAATTAAAATAATTCAAGGCTAACTATAAATCATTTTTGGACAGGAATCAGTTGTACAAAAATTGCAACGTGAACCATTATTTTCGCTGTCTACAGTCTTGCACGAAAGATCATCCTCACATACAAGAATAACAAGGATAAGTAAATGTAAACTTAACTTCACAGTGATTCACACATTTGAAGTTCCTAGAAAAGTGCTTCCAATCTTTTTCTCATGACTCCCCTGCATATATTTCCTATTTATAGCAAAACTTATGTAGTGTAATGTAATATTACGAGTATGCATATTGTTTCTCTAACCAGGTTTTCTCAAACTATTTTAAAGTGAGGACATTTATTAGAATGTTCTATGGATCCTCTTGTCCCCTTCTAAAGCAATTTTTTCAGCATTATGTTACTGCCAGTAACATAAACTTTTATGTTCAAAGTAAACTTAACTAAAATTCATTTAATTTTTTATCGGTATTGTTATAAGATTGTCAGGATGGTTAGCGGTGATTGTGTATTTACCTTTCATTCTTCAGGATGACGCTAGCGTTTTAGAAATTCTTTTATTACTGCACTAAATATTTACACATATTTACATATAGTTCAACAACATCGGTCACCTCACTCACATGCTCTAGAATCTCCGATTCTCGATCACAATAGTGCGCTGTCAGCGATTTTTCTGCAATGCCATCTATCGGCTGATTACAGTATTAAGTTAATAGAAGCAAATTTATATTCGTTTTCAAGGCTATGAAAGTTTGAATAATTTTTATCTAAATGAATAAACTTATGCAAAATTAAATTAATTTTGGCACTCAAGTTAATGAAGCAGATGAGCCTGCCGATTCTGTCGGTGTTTAAGGAATTTTTCTGAATTTAAAAACATTTTCATCGGGCGCAATGTTTTAGGAAGGTGAAAATTTAGATGTTTATGAAAGGTTCATGCAGTATTTTAATATTATCCCCTGATTCTTCATTAACGTTAAAGACAATAACTATGGAACTTTAACAAACTCAAACATTATAAAATTATCAGAATTGATGGGATTAGGTGACTGGGATATGAGCTCTTCCCTCATTTTCTGGCAAACTTTGCTTCTCCTGAAGAAGAAAACCTGTATCTGATCGCCATCGAAATCAACAGAATTTTTTTCAAAAATCTACGCCAAACTAAGGTTGCTTTTTGTCCTAGTTTTAAATAATTTTCAGTTACTTATTAAGAATATAAGAAAAAATGCTTTGCTACGCATTTATTGCATTTAAAATCTAATGTAGAAGTTTCAAAGCTTTTAAAACAAAACTACTGAAATAAATGCTGTTAAAAGTGCGTTATTCTTTTGAATTTTAATTATTCTTTCTGTATTTGGTATTAATAAATAAATATATTATCGCTTGTGATTATATTTTTAATTACAATTAACGTGTAGAAGTTTTCAAGAATTTAAGTATGAAATGTTAAATAAAAAAGTGCTAATTAATTAAATCAAACTCTTGACAGCTTCTTTCAGTTGCTTAGCCTAAATGAAAAAATACTGAACTTTCTGTCACAATCAGAGTATTGCTTTCCTAAATTCCAAGAATAATAAGCTGGTTTTAAACTAGAATTTGATATATTTATTACTTTACAAAAGAATAACTCATTGTTCTGCTAGAAGTTTTAAATTAAAATCGAAGATAACTATCTTAAATGTATATTTTCAGGGACGTAGGACCGGAGAGCACCATGACTCATGTCGAAACATTGGTTCCTAGAAAAGTGGGTCCAAGAAAAATCACTGCCATTTTCACGTCTCGCCAACTTATAGAAATCTTAGGAACAAAACAAATTGTTGTGAAAGATTAAATATAACTGCACTTCTTCTTAGTAGTATGTATTAAAGACAAGTATTGATGACATAACTTCACATTCAAATATGGCCCCAAGATTCTACTTAATTATATGTTTTCATTTCATGAGATTATTTTTAATGAAATAAAATAGTATTTTATAAACTGAAAGTTTTTTTAATTATACACGACATTTTGTTTTGGATTTTAAAATTTAAAGACAATAGATAAGCCATTATTTAAAAAACGCTGCCATACATTGTTCAAAAACGAAATATAAAAATCACATTTACGGAGACAATTTCATATGGTACGGAAGACCAGAGAAATTACTCAAGACTGGAATGCCTCGTCGTTATGTCGCATCGGGGGGGGGGGGGAATCGTAGATTGTCATTCCTGTGACTCTTCTAACAAAGAAAGTCATTGGATTTCCTGACAGCAATCACCAGGAAATTTTCAAGGGGGCGTCACATATGTGAACAAAACAACAATCGCAAAATGTAGTATTTTTATAATCACCAGCAATGCTTAGAAGAGTGTGGATAAAATTATGCGCCCGTAGATTGGCAAATCTGGCAAACCTGTAAGTTTTAAAACAATCCCTAGTACCAGAAATAACGTAACCCATCCAAAAGTTGCAAGTTTATGCAGATATAACAATTTCTGTCATGGTAATAGACAAGGTTACAAACAAAGGTCATGCGTGCACTGAGAATGGGTAATAATGCCGCTGGACTGAGAGGTTACGATGTTTCATATCCCACTCTAAAGTTAACATCCGAAGTGGAAGAGGCGTTTGAGGTAGTGAAGGATATATGGGTTTGATTTTAAATTGCGATAGCTGCTTGTTTGGTCCATTGTTTAAATGCGAGTAGTGAACTGTAAACCTCGTGTTACGCGTTTTCCGAAATCTGATTAACTTATGCTGATGGGTTCATTCTACTTTGAGTTTTATTGTACCATCCTTCTAAAAAATCATCATTGTTCAGTGCTGTCCTTTATTTTCTGGCAATTTCCAGGGCTTTTATTGCTCCAACAGGACTGTAGGAAGAATTTCTCTGTGCAAGACGAAATCTCCATTGGGTACCTCTTCATCACCTTTGTCACTTATTTTTGTACTTTCTCACTAATATTACACTAAAAGAATAACAGACCTTTTGTCTATTCATACAACTTTCTTATTATCCCATAACGCTGCTTGTTAGCAATCCAACATGCCCATACACGTTTTTTTCTTCTTTTTTTTTATCAGAAAAGCATTAAAATTATACTTCTATACTTTGCGTTCGGATAAGCGCTCATATTGTTATAAAACACTATGGATTTGTAAGACATGCATTAAACAGGAAAACAATAATTGATTGCTACAAGTCCACAAGTGTTAATATGAACGCTGCTTTCTAATCCACTAATACACTAACTCACTCTTATGCAGTCGCCTCCGTTTCCAGGGGTCATCTACCAACGTTTGGAGAAGAGTTCAGTGTCTCTCCTGTAAACCTTCTTTGTTCTTGAGTTGAAGAAATCAATTAGTCAAGTTTCAAGAACAGCTTCTTCAGAAAAGGCGACCCCTTAGAAACAATTCTGCTATCGTGATTTAACACGCGTTATACCCATGTATGCAAATTTTGTGCTTTAATCGAATGCGTACGATGACTGCACGATCACATTCCGTAAATTGTATAAATTTTTTATTTTTATTTATTTATTTATTTATTTTTTTGTACGATGAGGATTTTCTCGAAGATATTCGTTAAAATCTGACAATCTTCCTGAACATGGCTCATTAGATTGCTTTCCCTAGAACTGAGAGGACTATTTCCTTGTCGTACTTTTAGCGATGACATTAGATCAATACACGGCGCAAAGCTAAATTCGAGGAGCTGGATGTCCATTTAACAGTCCATTTTGTTTCGTCTGCGAAATAAATAATATAATCTCAAAATTAGAATACCCTGTATTTTCACAGACATGAAAGTAGTAATTAAACAATAACAATGAAATGACTGATGACGAAATTTTAGCATCATAACATTGCTAACTACACTGCGAACCAATAACAAAACACAACAAACTCGATTCAATATAAAATATAAACCAAGTATATGAAAGTATATTTGTAACATAAAACCATCAGCATATATTTCATACACTAAACCAAGTATGCCTGCAACAGATAAAATTTTCTGGATTATGTTGCTGTGATTTAATTTAAACTGAAGAAATAAATGCAATAGCGTTCATCAGTTGTACAATAGATAAAATAACGAAATATTTATTTTAGATTCAGTTTTTAGATAAATAAAGAAGGTTAAAATTTTTTTATCTATGCAAACACTTATCCCTAAATCTGACAGCATAAGCTCAAAATAAATTAAAGAAGAAAGTCTTACAAAACAGTCTTCGTGTAGTTTCCCATAGTCAGAAATCAGTGTATCTGAAATGAAATAAAATCTTAAAAATTTTTTCACATTAATTGCATTAATAAACTTAATAATAAAGTCGATTTACATTAATTTAAGCAAGTCTGCGAAATAAGTTTGAAATAGATAGGTGTTTCTGTAATATAGATTAAGAAAGAAAGAAAAAAGAAAGTTAAAGTGAAAATGTGAAAATTTTCTCTCTTAAGAATTTTTTCCTGTAAAAATTATAATTTTTTTTAACTTATTTTTTAGATTTACGAATATTATTTTTCTGCACGCAGAATTGTGTTACTAAATGCCGCTACCCCCCCACACATACATGGCGAAAATGTCATGACTGTGTTATTTAAAACATCAGCTTGCATTATGAGAATATCCTGAACTTCCCAGTGACATCTTAAGAACCACCTGAAGAGAAAAATATGACACATTATTTGTGATATCCTCATAGAGATCCCCGAAAATATGTACGAGTATATGAGGACATGCTTTAACTTACCTACAGATATCTTTAGAATCTCGTCAGGACACCGCTATTTATGAATCTATCTATATCTATATATCTATGATATGATATGAGGGACGAAGCCCAACCCTCCTGGCAGACTTTACGTCGCCCTATGGCCTTTTTTGCGGGCTGCGCCAGAGCAAGCTAAAAACAACAACACCTTCAACAAACAGACATAAAGAACATAACTAAAAACAAATTTCAAATTAAAATCCCTACTGCAAGCTTATCATGATTAATCTTCTCCATCATTTTCCTGGCAAATTTTTTCAGTCTCTTGAAATCATTTAAAATATCATATATATTAAAAACATCGTTTTTCTTAAACTCCTTCCTGATATCAGTAAAATATTTACATGTTTCCTCATAATGCTTCGCATTGCCCGGTTCTTTACGGTTATCACAAGAGGTCAGACTCTTTTAATTTAATCCTTTTAAAATAGAAAGGAAAACAGTCCATGATCTGTAATGATTTGGTTAACGTCAATGTCTGAATAACAAAATCCTTTAAGTTTAACAAATTTCATATAACCTTTATTTCGATCAGACCTTTCCCACTCTTTTCTCCATTTATCACAGCTTTTTTTTTTTTTTGTTGATCTCTGTACATCAATATCACTAGCATTAACATTGGTAATTGCCTCCTTAGGAAATGCGTCCGCCCTTTCATTTCCAAAATGTCCAACGTGTGCCTTCACCCAATTAAACACAATATTTTCATCTTCTCTTAAGTCTTTATATAATTCTTTAATATATACTATTAAAGGATTGTCTGTCTCTATATTATATATATATATACAGGGTGTTTCTAATCTCATGGTATATACGTTAGGCGGTGATATAGAACACAACTGGGTCAACACAAACCACTATATAGTCCATGTTCAAAACTCCAGTTTTAAACCGTAAGAAAGGCACAAGTTTTAAAGCTCCACAATTTAACTGGCTTTTACATATAACGTCTACTGCTATTGGCTAAAGACATTCAGGTGATATCGAAGTTGAATTCTCTTGTGCACATCCATAGCACCCGTTACTAGCTAATCCGCCGAAACAGAATAAAAACGCTGTACACAGCAATGACCTTCTTTTGTGATAGGTATAACCTAGGAATAATCAGAAGAAGGCTGAAGTGCATTACATGTGCGAGGAAGGAAACGCCAGGAAAGCTGCAAGATTGTACCAAGAGCGTTTTCCAACAAGACGCGTCCCAGATGCCTGAAGCTTTCAAGGACTGCACCAATAAATGTGAAAAAGAGAGTTCTTTTCAAGTTGCAGGCAGGATAAAAGGCCATGAAAAAGTGTAATAAACCATCCATAACAAAAACCAGTTTACATTGTTACATTGTAGATGAGTGCCCCCTCAATGTAGCACGCGGGCATTGTTAATTTGTCCTATCAGATGATGTGGTGATGAGCCCTTCAAGAAGAATGAATATGCTCCAACTATGGTCTCAAGAGTTGTCACATATGGATTACGCTCCTCGTAATCGGTGTGGCATTTGCCACGCAGTTTTTGCAATAGACAGGTTCGGGGTTCTGGATTTTCAGCACATGTTTTACTGAATTACAAATGCACATTCCAGAGAAAAGTAGTATCGAATATCCATAACTATCATATTGGGAAAATTCACACAACACGAACTCAGGATCGTTTCAATGCTATTTCTGAGTCAATGTTTGTATACAATTGTACACGATCATCTAATTAGTCCATACTTTCTGCCAAATCGCCTGGATGGATATTCATATCTTGTGCTTTTGCGATAGGTACTTCCCGATCTACTGAGCCCTATTATAGCAAACATCAAAAGACGCCTTTGGTTCTAACACTATGGAGCACCAGTACATTACGAAGCGAATCTACGGAACGCTTTAGATACCATTCATCTGGAACAATGAAATGGTCTTGAAAACCCAATCAGTTGGTCGGTCCGCGTATCCGATCTACCATATCTGGACGTTTCGTTCTGAGGTCGCATGAAGTTTCTTATCAACGAAGGAAGTCTGGGGTGGCATGAAGTTTCTTATCAACGATGGAAGTCTGGGGTCGCGTGAAGTTTCTTATCAACGATGGAAGTCCGATGAAGAATTTGTTGGCTGGAAATCTGCAGCTGCTGGAACCATGCGAAAGATGCCTGGTGTGTTCGCCAATGTACATAGTCAATCCTCGACTATGCCAAGTCTGTGCTATTGTAGGTGGGTGTCCTTTTGAGCATTTGCTGTGATTCGAGATTTC